ATACAGGGCTTCGAGTGCAACTTTGATTGTAAAACCAAATTCCCCAGGCAGAGAATTAAGTTGCAAAGGAAAAAAAGGGGGGAAATATTTATAAGTCTGAACTTCAATAGAATTTGACCAATTCTCAAGAACACAGGGGAAATCCATCGCCAATTGTCAAAACTTTACCCAACTAACTTTCTAGAAACATCTATAGTGAAAGAGATTGTGCTCATGTTTTCTCCCCAATTTTAAAGAACATCACACCTACCAAAAGCTAGATCCTCAGAGGGCACTTGAGGAATTTTAGATTGACCCAATGAAACCGAACATCAAGTATGTCACGATTTCTCTTAGCGGTTGGTCGTGTGTTCCTGACCTTGTAGGTAGGCAACCCAAGGTTGTTTCATTTTGCTTAAATTGAATCTTATTTTAACAATTTAATGGTTTTTGATTGGATTTTAATTGGCAATCATAAGAACGAGTTGGGCATATTGTCATTTTCATATATATGTATATGTGTGTGTGTGTGTATACATACTTCTGAGCTAATGAAGTAGCTTTATTCTTGTGCAATGAAATATGGCCTAGTTGACATCTATATAATAGTGTATCTTTGAATTAAAGAGAAGGTCAAAGAAATTTGAGTCTTTTTTTTTTTTTTCTAGTAGGGACCAGAAATATTAAGGGGCCATGGGCCAAGGCTAAAGGGAACAGAGCAGAGAGTGAACAGAATTATAGAAAACATGGAGTCAAATGCTGAAGCTCCAATAATACTCAGCCTTGTGTGAAATTTGTCTGGCTCACAAAAAATTGTTATTCTTGGTAATATTTAGACTCTTATTTATTTTGTGCTGTCTATGGGACAACTGATTTTCTTTCAAAAGTGTTCTCATTTTAAATAGAAAATATCACAATAAGATGTGAGAAAACTGTCTAGCTGTTTATGGAAAAAAATTTATAATCAAAAATATTTTGAATGATCAAATTTGAAAAACAATTCTATTTTCAGCAGCTATAAAGTCAAAATACATGGCAAATTCCACGGGAGAGTTCTTATGTATAAAAAAATATTCAATTATCTCCCCACTGAGATATTGAACAGTTTCATTATTTACTTCAACATTTTAATTGCCAAGGATAAATAGATGTTTATTATTTTTACAAGTATGGTTATAACATACTTCTTACTTTACCAGTCAGTAAAAGTCACCAGGAAATAGTAATTTTGCAATTTTTGACCTAGAATTCTTACTATTGAAAATTAGCACGAAGTTAGAGCGTATTAGATATCATTTCAGGAAATGTCGATATTTCAAGACATCACCGTTATAACTTGAAGAGAAAGCTGTCTTTGTTGTTGTTGTTAAGGATTTTTTTATTATTGCTTCTCAGGCTTAGCAGATTACTAATACTTCCCTTTAATGTTAAAAATTCTCACTTGCTGAAACTTTAAAAAAAATTAAAGTACCTGCTTTTGTTGTCATCATCATTGTTATAGTTTTAAGCATTCTTTTTGTACGTCATGTGGAATCGTCAGAGAAAAAGAAACAAGATTATTTTTTATCAAAACTGGCATAATCCTGATTAGCAATTCTTAAGTTTATTTGAAAAGGGAATTGAATGATTTACATTCTGTTCCTTTCCTCCTATTGTGGCATTTTATCAATTTTATTAGTAAGTTAAGCAGCAGCAGTAGTAAGTTAAGTAGTAAGTTAAGAAATAATAATGAAATTAAGAGTTAGTGCTATTTCCTGAAGGTATCCGTTAGCTAAGATCTCTCCTGTGGTTCTACTGGAATTATATTTGAAATATATCAAGCCATTTAAATAAATCTTTAAGCTGAAAATTATAATTCATCGTAATTAGTACCACAGAGTTGACAGAGCATACGTTTTGCTGTTGGAAGATCTGAGATCGGGTCCAAGTTCCATTACTTAGCAGCTGTTTGATTTTTGGCAAATCATTTAACCTTTCTGACTCCTTTCCTTTGTGGATAGGAATAATGTCCATGGAAGGAATTTCTGTCATGGATAGTAACTGTATGTGCCCGGCACCAGATCACTGGGGCAGCGCCTGGAGAGACAGCAGGAAGAACCGCTTTGTTAAATGGAGGGCAGCACACCACAGGTGGAAGCCGTGCATGCCATTTGTCCTTTAAAGTTATGTTCATACGAAATATGCCTTTCAAATTTGCAGAGGAAAAACTCAAGATTTCTCATCTAAAATTCCCAGCAAGAGATCCCCAGTTCTCTTCTTTGACATGTAGAACAAGAGGCTGAGACTTTTCTGCTTGTTCACACTGAGTTATCATAACGTTCCCTACTCTCAATTCATTCTCATTGCCCAATTGTTTCAAGTAGGTAGAAATATTGTCTTTATTTTCTCCAGGTCTATGCTCTTCAATTCTTTTATGACCTGCTCCCATTTGGGTTCATCAAAAAAAAAAAAAAA